ATGTTTTTTTTAGTTTTAATTTTTTTTTTCTTTTTGAAACATGAAAGCTGAGTTTAAAATGTTTATTGTACAATTAGTTTCGAAAAATAAACTTAATCTTCTGAGTGCCCTCGATGGAAATTTATTGTTGCATACAGATTATTGCAGGGTAGGTATTAGTTTGCTATTTATACTACTTTATAACTTTTCAAAATTATTAAAATTTTTATCAAAGATATTCTGTAATGTAAAAAGTTAAAATTCTTAGTAAAAATTCTTTAAATGTTTAAAATAAAATGTTTAGATAAAAAAAAAATAATAAAACCAACTTAAAACATTATTTTGGATCTCTCTATGCAATAACAAAATTAATACGAGAATAGAAAATATTTTACTACGTATTAATTTAATCTGGTTGGCTGGAATCGTTTTCGATCATTTTAAATGATAAGCAAAAATATAAACAAAAATTAGTTCAATTTATCCAACAGAATAAGCTGAAGAGTGATTATCCAATGTATATAAAATTATTAAAACTATGTTTTAAACACTGAAAAAATATTGAAAATCTAAGTAATCTTATAAAACTATTTTGTTTCAATTAAATTAGAAAAAAAATGTACGTTATATTTTTTATCATTATTATCACGAAAACCATCTTCAAAACATTGATCGTGCACGTATCGACTATTTGTGTGCTTTGTTAATTTTATAATATCTTCCACTATTCTTGTTCTTAAATTAATTTGAGAAACCACACCAAGTGCAATTTAAAATTCAGTGACCATTTCATACTGTCCATAATTTCATTTCTTAAATGCCAAAGAAAACTTTTTACTTGAAAATTCGAAATAACATTTAGAAATGATAAAAAATTAGTTTTAATTTAATAGCTATACAAACTACTTCGTGATATATTGATATGGAATAACATCATATATATATACTTTAAAGAACGAAATGAGGTAGGTAACACAATATTTACGAAGATCAGATACATAATATTTACCAACGCGACATTTACGTGATGAGTAATAATATCTTTTATACACCCCGTGTTATATTATAGACCAAACTTAAGATGAACGTAAAAGATTTGCGATGAGATTAAATCTGGGCTCTGTTGAATATTTTTCATAATAATTTTGTACTAAATATCTTTCACAATTATGAATATTGCTCAACGGTTTTTAAAGATTTTGAAGTAACTATTAACTTTAGGGTTAATGATTATATAACGCAAATGTTTTCCAGGTAATATATTATTGTTGTTAAACGTTTATCTTTGTGTTTCGAATAATTAAAAATTAAAAACATCGTATAATCCGAATAGTATTGTAAACATTTATAGTATAGTTACTTTTAGAATAAAATAATTATATAGGGGAGATTTAAAAGTACGGTTTTTAATAATAATGATGCTAGGAGTTACCGACAAATAAATTACAACAAATTACAGACGAGTAATGTTAAATTGGTTAACAATTTAATGAAACAGTTGTACGTTATTAAACAAGTGTTTAAAATAATGAATGACAATTAATGAAAACAACCGGACGGTAATGGCTGCGTCTTATAAAATAGCCGTCTTGTTTTGTCGTGAAAAAGCCATCTCACGATTCATGATTTATATTTATTGCACATAATAAAACAGATCGAACAAAACTAATGGAGATGAATTTACTTGTAAATGTTGCATCATTTAGACGGTCTAAAATGTATAAGTCTTATGTGTATACGTGTGTATAATACGAACACTTAGAAAGAATCAATTATTCGGTTACAGTATATATATATATATATATATATACTGTAACATATGTAACGGTAATATATGTACTGTATATATATATATATGCACGTGTATATACTTTTTCGTACTAAACCTATACGTGGGTAATTTCTTCGTTATTGTATTATTTTTCCCCGCGATTTCTTCAATCACTCTACACATAATAATAATCCCATATTCTATGGTTTGTGTTAAATGCATCGTTACGGAGTGACCGAAAAATGCTCTAAAATATTTGTTGTTTTTCCGGGAATGGTCGAGGTATAAGAAACAAGAACATCGACACTAGAAACAAGAGAGGGAATCAGTGAGTGAGTGAGGAGAGAGAGAGAGAGAGAGAGAGAAAGTGTGAGACAGAGCTGAAGAAAAAAAAGAGATTCTACTGAACCCTATATCAAGATTTATAATGGACTTAAGCTGCTCCGGACGTGTTCGTATATTATTAATTTATTGCTAGACGCTTCTAGTGTTCAAGAGAAAGGTCTCTTGTTCGATTATTGTTTTCGTTCATTGTGTACATTCAAAAACACGTATTAAAGTGAAAAAGTCTTAAAATCATTGTGGCAAACTCGGTAAAATACTATTACACACTTACAATCTAAAAAGCATGATGGCAAATCCATAAAATAATCGGAAAACGACCAAAATTGAGTTAATTTAAAGAAATAAATAATAATCAATAAACAAACAATGCAATTGAACACAATTTATTTTAAATTGTATATGTATACAACAACTGTTAAAACTTGATATAGTGAAGAGTTTCACAAGACTTGAGTGATACTTGGTATCGAATTCGTTGCTCGATTTCAATGCTACAAATTTTATATTGAACTCTGGTAGAAATATATTATCAAAAGTATTACAAAAATAAAACGGTAACTACGAATAAAAGCTCGCACTACAACATTTGAGGTTTTACGGTTGGTAAAAAATAAAAAAATAAATAATATTAATGAATGTTTAACAATAATGATGAAATATTAACTGTATGGACACTCATAAAAATTTTGTATGTTCAATGAATATTGTACACAGACCGTATGATAATAATTTCATACCTCACCAACGAATTTTAAATTAATTTTATGTTAAAATACCGACACTTACTGTATCAGTAATGCGTACACAGCATTTAATATTAAAAACAAATTTTTGAAATTTTTACATGATTTAAAAAATAGAATGTATGAAATATGTGTTATCATTTAATAAATCGCTGAAAACATTAATGACTAATTGATTGGATGTTAATTTTGATAAAAACGTTTAGAATAAATTTGCAAATGCTAATTGTCACTATATAGATTTACAGAAAAAATTTGACTATATATTTTTACGAGATTTCATATTATTTATCTTTATTAAAAACAATTTATTCCTTAATAGCACTGTAATCACTGTTTGCCTTTTGACATTGCATGACTGAAATTTGTCGTACTATTAGGTACCAATGTCCTAAACACCTTTCAATATTATGATAATCCTGGGACATTGCTTAATTCGATGCGAATAAATACGAGAAAAATCTCTGAGTCAAAATAATTTAATATGTGAATTGATTTTTAAACAATAAATTACTAATTTAGTTTTTGATTAAAACAAACTCTTTTAATATAACGATAGTTAAAATAATCATAGTTTCAATGAAAACCAAATTTTTAATTAGTTTTTAGAAACTGTCAAGAAGATATAAATTTATAAAAATGTATAGAATATATGATATGTATTCAATGAATCCTATAAAATGTAATTCTTTTATTTCAAATTATTCTTAATAATTAGTATACGAACGATAAGGTAATCGAGGTACCCTCGAAGTACCTTGATGATTAATTTTTATTTGTATTCATTCTATGCTTACGAGGATTAACTTATAAAATAAAATAATAAAATAATAGTTATTCTCACAATAAAAACTGATATAAACTGTATTATAAGCCATATAAAAACACGTATATCTGCTAAAAATGAGCAGTAATTTCGGTTTTTCCTGGATATTCACAAGTATCAGTAAATTATTTTAATATATTATTATATTTTGAAATACTTCCTAAACCCGATATCATTGGATTTGGATATTTATAATCATGTTAAAGAAGTTTGTAACACGAAATGATTTCACTTGTCTATCAAATACATACTTTGAACAATTGTGAGAAAACCAAAAATGACTATAGCTTAAATCTCTATAATTTATATTGTACATTCATATTTTAGCTTAAATATACTTTCTAACGGTCTGATTAAAGAAAAAGTTGAAAAAAATAAAATGTTTGTAAAATCAACACGTTCTCCTAATATTTGAAATTAATACTCCATAGTATGATTCATATTGACACTTGACAGTTATACAATGCGGATGTTTGTTGTTTTTGTTTTCTTATTATTATATTACTTTGTTCGTTCTACAAAGTTCCATTATATCTACTATATGTTTGGTTTTTAATTCTCAATTTGCTGACCTAGAAACACTGTAGAAATGTGACAGCTGTTCCCAACCAGTCTACCATAGATATCCGTGCCTTTCAACAACGGAGAGAAAATTTCACTGAAAAACAGGTCGTTGAAATATTTTTTTTTTTTTTTTAGAATAAAGGCTCGACATCAAAGGTCATTAGCCTGTAGAGGTTTTACAATGATTAGGTTATAATATATTTTTGTTAGGCTTGTAATCAAGACATAAAAGATTTACCAAATACTAAAATGCTAATAAAAAATTTATATTAGAAGTAGAAGAACTGAAAAAATCACCTCCACATGTATATCTAATATTGCTCGTGATAATAATGAAATTAGCGTTCGTAACAGTTGTGCTACGAATATTATGTGTTATAATATATGTGAAAGCACTGTTATGTTGAACTTTTTTTACCAATGAGGCCAACAAGATTTTGGACACCCACCACCTGTAAAATAAAAACCTCGTCTTGGAATGGTAGGTGGGGAAAAGGTGTCAAACCCACCTAAATTATTAACAGACACTCATATTTTTAAAATTTAAGTAATATTAATTTCTATACTAAATTTATTTAGAAACATTCAGCCCCATTAAGATTATTTCCTAAATTGCTGTTATTCATACAACTAAAAAAAATATGAGGTTAAGTTTATAGGACATAAATTATTAAAAAAAAAATCTAAGTTAAAAATTATCTAAGTATAAATAATAGCAAAGAAGTATATTATCTATATTCTATATAAATAAGTTTGTTATTTAAACATTAATTTATTTTTTTAAGAAAGTTGATATTTGAGCAAACATATCAATAACTTCTTGGTGATTTATTGGTACATCTCTTTCCATGCTTAAAATTAACAAACTTTCCAAACGACTCTCACATGTTGTTGATCGAAGTCTGGTCTGCATAAGCTTTACCTAAAATAATACAACGTATAATTTATTATTGAATAGTTTGTTGAATTTTAATTAGTTTAAGTAATTCACCTTAGAAAAGCTTCTTTTTATAGTTGCTAAAGATACAGGTATGGTTCCAAGTGCCTTATATGTCCTTTATATGTCTTAAACAAATTTGGAAAATCATTTCTAAGGTCATAACTGGATAATATTTTCAGAAGTTTCAATATCATTTTCACTGTTTTCGCTATCATTCTCCGAATCAAAAACACTTGTATAATTGTTAAGGTTTTGATATATCATGCTTATATTGATACCATTAACTAATTTATCTAAACTTTTACTAATGTAACATATTCAATCTATAGTTGAGTGAGATCTATTGAAATCCAGTTCGGAATAACTATAAATAAGTTTGCCATACGTCCCGGTTTTTAACCAAGTGTCCCGGTGTCCCGAGAAAGTGTTTCGGGACAGCAATTTGTTCCAGTTTCAAAAGTTTACTCGATAAAATATCAAGCAAATTGAAAACATAAGAAAGGATCGGTTTCTCACGGTGGAAATTGAAAATCTCGTAACAAAACTTGAGGATGAGGAATTATGAATAGAACTAATTTTGAAAGTTAATGTGATGAATTTTATGTACTTTGTTACAACTATTTAAAAAAAAATGAAACAATTTAAATCAACATGTAACTAATTTAAAACTAATGTTATGGATAACATTAGCCCCAAAGAAAATAATAAATTGGGAAAATGTCAAAAATTCAGTAATCTTTATAAAAGCTATAATGTCTAACAATCTTAATTTTGATGAATAAATGTTTTTTGAACGATTCAAAATGTTTGAAAAAATTAATCAACAAAATGACTGGTGGCATTGTCGAAAAATAGAAAATAAATGGATATATATTTTCAAAGTATTCACTGAACATGAATTAACATTCATGCATTTTCTGAGTTATTAAAAGTTGTTGAATTTATTTTTCTTTTGTCGGGTTCAAATGCACTGATGAACAGCACATAGACAAATTCAATATAATAACTAAATATAAAAACGTATATTATAAAAACGTGCTTCAACAATACATCTTATGAAGAATTCTACGACCAAAGTTTGGGAAACAAGTCTTTATTAAAACAAGTTTATGGATCAGTCAAATATGTAGTAAAATCAACAGAAAAAACTCTGCACCCCAAAAGATCCGAAGACTAAGAATATGAATTATTATGTTATTATTATTATATTGCTTCTATATATAATTCATTAAAAAAAAATATATATATATATATATTTTTTTTCTTTCGTATGGTGATAGGTTATATATAATATATAATATTATAATATTGTATTTTTAAAATATTTATCCGTTCAAAAAATCCCGGGTTCGGAAAAATATAATCTGGTAACCCTAACTTTAAAGGCATCACTAGATAAAACGTTTTCATTCTTAATCAACTTTAAACATTTAGGTAAAAGTAGTGTAAATTCTTTAAGTATATTTCTAGATTTAGAAAATTGATTTTCAATAGATAAAATGATTGTATCCAAAATTCTATGAAAAACCCCAGTCCTAAAATTATTTACAGATGAAGATAAAAGCATATCTCTAGCTTATTCTCCAGCCATAATTTTTTCTTCTTGATCTTAACCAAGGAAAACCTGTTTCATTAAGATTATTTTTATTTAAAATTAATTTTGTTTGGTCAATTAAATTGTTATAGCCTCGTTCTGTTCTCATATCTATTAAATGGTTTTTTGCAACATCAATTAAATTAATTGCCTGTAAAAAATCAATTGCCTTTGATAGTAGATATCTTGACACTTCAGACGTAATGGCAAACATTTTTTCTAAAAAATAACATCATTAAAATAAATTAGAATTATGTTATTTTACTTAAAAGATTTTCAGCAGTTGAGGCAGCTTCGCGGTCTGAATTATTTGCATCAGAAATTTCTTATATATAATTTCTTCTGATAGTGCAGAATATTTTTCATTAATAATAATTAATACCCTATCATGAGAGGTCCATCGTGTAGTGAAAATCCGCTTCATTTGACGTAAACAATCATTAGAACAGGGGTCGGCAAGTAATTTACATTGGAGTCTTAAAGTTTAAAATAATAAATCATTGAGGTCAAGTGAAAAAAATATTTTTCAAATATTTATATTTTAAAAGTAGTAGTATAAAAATAAAAATAATTATTTGGTTATTACAAATAATTTATATTAAAAATTACTATATTAAAAATATGAAAATTAAAGTTGATAGGATTCAAGAATATTGCCTTCTGCGGTCCGGATTCGGACCGCGGTCCACCAGTTGCCGAACCTTTCATTAGGATATAATTGTTCTTGTCATTTAACAAAATTAGTTGTTCGTTTTCTAGCCCTCATAAAATTAAAAAAACTTCCAATATCGCCAAAAAAATATTTTGAGACAATACAACAATCACGTGTATCAACTACTACTAGATTAAATAAATGCACACAACACCAAATATATATGGCATGTAGATTTTCATTTTGTATTTTGGTTTTCAAACCAGAATATTATCTTTGCGTAGATGCAAAAACATTATATTCTTGAGCTACCAATTGTATATTCCACTGAATATTTTAGATCTTATTATTTCCGATATAATATTAATAAATGATTTTGGGTGACATTAGACAAAAAAGTTAGTCGATTTTTTTTTTAATACCTTCAATTTGATCTATATGGTGTTTCAAAGGACCATGATTGTTTAAAAAAAGTTTAACTAATTCCAAAAAATGTCCTCTATTATTTGAATCAATGTCTTCACGATGACCTCTCAAAGGTATATTTTATCTTCCTATGTAAACAAGGGCATCAATAATCTGTTTTAAAAGTTCTCGATTGTCAGTCACCTAACGATTTGCATTTTCAATGAGTTTCAGATCAATTCGGTCATTTCTTATATATAATCCATGTGCTAAACACTTTGCATATGATCTGGTGAGGATTCATTTTAATAAAATATGTGAAATATTTTTGAAGTCATTAGATCCATTTTTCACTAAAAACAAATTTTTTGTTTCGGGTAAACCAAAAAGCTTACAGGTTAGACAAAATATTCGATTCAAAGGTGGTGAATATGATAGCCAATACATATTTATAAGCTGCCCATCAGTATTTTTTTTTATAATAATAGCATTCATTAACTGACCTAATATGACCACTTTCTTCATATGTCTTGGGAAATGTATTATTTAATAAATCATTAGCATTTGGCTGACATGGACCAAGGGACATATAATAATGCAACATTTCATCTGATATAACTAATGGACGCTGGATCATTTGCAAATACTAAAATAATATTTGTATAAATATATAATTATTTAAATTTTTTATAATAAAATAAGTAGTAAAAATATTACAAATACTCTCTGTTTTTGGTACATCATCTACGTGTACAGCAATATTTGAACTTGGCATTAAATTATTTTAAATTTTCATCACATCTAAGTTCTCGGTTTGAATTTTGTCATTAAACCCTAAATATACATCAAATTAAATTTTATGAATTCTTCAAAACGTATAATAGGTACAATGGTATATTATTTTAGTTCAACAAAATTGAATAATTTTTATCTAATTGTTATCTTATTAGATATAATTAGATTTAAAAGTTGATATCTGAACATGTATATATAGTTTTAATCAGTTGAGTTATAATGAACTCACAATATTAAAAACAAAATTTGTTAAATTATTTAACGTTACAAACATTAAAATTTTATATGAAACATTGTTAACCTCTTCGCCCCGTCACTGTGTGAAAGCGAATCAAACCTGTCTGATGTACGGATATCACAAGACCGTATTCAGGTAAATTTTAATTTAGACGTTTTCTTTTTCTCTCATTTATGTCTATTGTATTTTTTTATTTATATATTTTTTTTTCTATTCGCCTGTTATAATATCAATAGTATAACATTATTTTTCCTTTTTATTATAATATGTAAAGGATTTCAGTCCATTAAATTAAGCTAACTAATGTATATTCATTGTTGCTTTAAAATAAAAATAAAAATATTATGTTTCTCTCAAAATCCGAAAACTTAAAGCGATAAAAAAGTGTTGTTAAATAAGATTATATATAATTATTATTTCTGGAAAACAGTAATTTCTGTTGCCCAAAATAAAACTAACATTTAAAAGTGTTCAAAATACTGGACCCAGAGTTCGAATGTTTTGAACGGTTTGCTGCGATTACGTCCAAAACGTGTGATGTCCTCCATCGAAGCGCATTACCAAGTTTAAACTATGTGTCTAATGCCATATTCTTGACCAATCAATCACTCATAGATGCTTACATAGGACAGTGAAAGGACTGCAATGCTGTCTGAAGGGACGCAAGAACAAACGAACGCGATCGGTAGCCCAGACCCGAGATCAAGGCACCGAGTGCGCGTCCGCACGCGTTGATCGACAATCGTGTGCGACTGATGTTACCGTGTACCAGGGGCGTATTTTAGGGGAGCAAAGGGATCGATCGCCCCCCCTGAATCCATATATAAGGAATTGATTATATGTGAGGTACACATTTTAAATTTCTTTAATGAGGATCATTTCATAACAAAATTAAATTACACGTTGCTGTGAATACCGAATTGGGCTTTTTATCGGGTCCATACTTAGTGAAAAATCAATTAAAACACAAACGTAACTTTCAAAACACAGGCAGCTGATAAACAAGAACTACATAAAAGTAAATTCTAAGTTATTCCGGCATAAGATAAAAAAAAAAAAAAACCACAAATATTAAGGATTCATCTGATTTAAATACAACCAAAAATTTTACTTGTACATTTTGAGTTTGGATTAAAGAAAAAAATTTGAGTTTCCCCCTCCCCCTCCCCTCATGAAGTAAGTCTAAATAATTCTCTGTCATGTACACGGTGTTCGCTCTCCGTACGAGTCGCAGTACCGATGAGATCATCGATCTTGCTCGATAGGATTTAACACGTCCGTCATCATACCGTACACCCCGCGGTTCTCGTATCGTTTCCCCGTGACAGCTGTGCACGTTTCGGTTTCCGCGGCCTCGGTCAGGTAAGTTTTTCACCAGAAACGCACATCACCGTTGACGTTCGTGCGTTGTACCACGTAAATGTTCACTCGTTAATCCTGAACGTAAGATGAGTATTTATTTACGATGCGTAGGTTCGTTTGAAATTCATACAACATGGGCTTGGTAACTGGGGCCCGCCAAAACATGTTCTGTGTAAAGTTATGATGGTCGATGAAGATTAGTGTACAGTAATGAAACTAAGAATGCAGAGATAAATGAGAAACGGACATAGCATACGATTCAACCGGGTGTACATTATTTTAAGCAACCATGTATGAAGATATAAAAAATAAATACAAATCAAATCAACGATTTTTCACCTATAAATTGTATCATTTAGAGTTTTGTAACCAAAACGAATTTTTTTTCTTTTTTTTATAGCTTAAGTGAAAAAGTACGATTTCAGTAGGTATTATTATAACATTTTATTAAATAGTTTGGTGCCAATTATTTTAAATTGTATTCCTGATATTATTTTTTTCGGTCAATTCACTAAATAGTTTTTTTAGCACAACTGGTACTGACACTTTGTAATATAGGATTTAACATATTAAATATAAATATTTTAAAGAGTTGCAGCAACTGTTTTATTATATGATTTTTCTATCGGGTAGTACATTAAAACCATGTTTAAGTTTTTCGTTCAAAAATCATAGATTTCTATTATATATTATTTTCAAGATTTGATTCTGGCAAAATTATGACACTGTTAAAGCGTTATTTTAACGTGATAAATATGTGTTAATTATATAGTGCGTGTGTTTGTATGCTTAATAATTACTACAGTGCATTATAAATTATCCATAAATTATCAATAGTACTGCAGGTATACATCATTATGACCATGCGATTAGAATGCGTTTTAGAAATTGAAGTACATCTGTGTATGGATCTCGGTTGAACGTCCAAAAAGTATATTAATTCAGAATACGGATATACTTCGAAATATAAATACAAACATAGTATGTATATAACAATATAATATTATGATAATTGCCAATTATTATAAATATTATTTGTTAGTTAACAAATATAATATTTTATAATATAAGGATTCAAACACATGTGTATTTAAAAACACAGGTACTCACGGCCATTTACACGTATTTTTTATATTCGTAGTATTAAATCCGGCTCGAGTAAAAACGTTGGTACCCAATAAATACGTATAACAAAAACCTTAAGCCCTAACTAATAGTATTGTTTGTAATATATCGATATGTGTAGTGTAATAATTTTTTTTTTTTATATGTTCGTGTTAATCTGTCGAAAATATCAACGATATCCGACACGTATTTTTAAATACTTTATACGAATCTGCACCCAAAATAATTCAAATTTTATAACGCCATCTATGTTAGATAAAGCTATAGTATTTAATATCAAAGAAAAATTACGTGACTTGGTAACATTAAGTTTTTAAGTCTTTTCTGATACGTATAATAATAACGCAGAATCTCATGTTGAATCATGGTGAATTTTGTAAATCTAATTTCTACACGAAAAAAATATAATGTGCTGCATAAATACATCAATATTTTAAGTTAGAGTGATTTCAGAATTGAAAAATAAAAACATTTTAATTGTTCGTTTACATTATGAAACGAAAATAAAAACTGAAGTTGAACACAAATAAAACAAAATAAGTATATATAGTATATATATATTTTATAAAAAAGATGTTTTGTAACTTATATGTTTGCCAATTGTATAACCATAATATTGTTGAATGATAAAAGAAAATTTTGTTCGATTGTTTTTTGTATACTTAAAAATGTCGATATCACGATACGATTTCGGTAAAATCCAAACGATACCGAATTCAAAAAATATCGTTGGCTTTGGATTACACAAGGTTTATAGGTAAACAATGTGTACAAAGTGATCGTGTCACCAACTATATGTTTTATTTGTAGCTTCCACACAAGTCATATTTATTATCGTATATATTATCCTATGTACAGACAACGTACATTTGTCTTTTAGTTTTTCATGAATTGCTCAGATAACCAATTTTCTAGATAAAATAATAAAATAAAATATGGGAATACTGAGGCCCGTAGTTTTTGTCCTTTGGTTAAATATTGTGTTTTCTTTTCTTTTTTTTTTTCACTAATATATCGAAGAGATTTTTATTATTGTTACAAATGTCATCATTAAAGTACCGTTTTATAATTGTCGTCGTGCAAATCAATATTATGGACATTTAATAAAATACATTAGCATGTTATATGTATACAATTCTGATCTTGTACCTTTTACCAGACATGAATTATTAAATTATTGAAACATAAATTTAAAATATCTACAGCATAATGGAAATAATAAAGGATCCATTGGATGCATATAATTCGAAAACCCGAGAAAACCTATGTTTTTAAGTTGTTTTTTCAGAGTAGTTCAATAAAACAGATTTATAATAATCTCACGGCTGCTTATTGATTATACTTTATTTTTAAGTTTTTCATTATTTTCAGTAAATTAATTATGAATAAATTATGTTTTCGGCAGAGGCGGATCAAATAAGCCACCTCTATGCTAAATACAAATTTTCCGCCCTTATCCTAAAAAAAAAAATCACTTTCGTACATCAAAATTTCCTCGCATAATAATATTTTCTCAATATTAAACAATTATTTGTTCATTTAGGTAAGGTTTATTTTTCTATTTGTCTTGAAATTTATAATTTCTGCTTCGAACACTAGGTTAAAATTACTTATTTAGTAAATTGTATATTTTACAATAATTGTAGTTGTAATTCTAACAATTATTGTTGGGTGCAGTATAAAATTTAGTATTTTGAATAATTCAAAAAATTCTATTGTACCACTTTCTGTGTCTGAATTTCGGCCCTAGACTTATTTCAATAAGATGGCTTGTGTTGAGTTCCGCTCTTTGTTTTTCGTATTTTCTGCATTCCTCAAAAATGTATTCAATTGTGAACAGGGACACCCGCGAAAATGGGGTGCGACTCGTTTGCGCACATTTACCTTTTTTACGACACAATTGCACACAAAATCACAACTCGTTTGCGCACACATATTTTAGGTTTAAATAATAAAGGTACAACTCGTTTGAGCATATTTCCTTTCTTTTGCTTAATTTTAATTAATTAATAGACTGTATAAAATAATAATATATATGCATATTGTATATATATATATATATAAAAAAAAAAAAATATAAATTAAGATTTAACTATTTTGCATTTCTAAGTATTTATTATATAATTTAACATCAAGCGACCAGATATCGGCGAGAATAAGATATATATACAACAATATAATACAGATAAAAGTAATAATAACGTCAATGATTATACGCGTAAACAATATTGTCAATTATTAATTTAATATTACAAAAATTAAAATATTTTAAAAAACATGCATTGTAGGTTTAATAAATAATAATAGTAGTCTATTATAAAATTGTACTAATTTAGAATGGTGGCATTTAAGTCCAATTTTCTTTATATAAGTTAAACGATTAATAATATTATTTTTATATTCATTCCAAATGTTTTCCAATTGTATCTCCTTATTAATTATCTCTTTTCTTTTGAAATTTATGATTTTATTGTTTATCGAATTAATTTTTAAATCAGTGTCACTTTGAATTTCAATAATGACGTCGATTACTTGATGTATGTGCGGATGAGCAGTGTAAAACTGACTGTTATATTGTTTGTGATAACTTTCTGCACCATTAGTAGTCTTAGGATTATTAGTAGGTTTACAAGCCCATAATGTTGGAGGAAAATTGCTGTCCGATGCAATGTAATTTTCTAAAATATAATCGAAAAATATAGAAATATTACTAGACGTAGTACTTGGTGCTATCGACATAAGATCACAAAATCCATCAGAAACTTCGTCAGGAGGTAAATAACTTATTCCAAAAAAACATTTCATCCATTTGTCAACTTCTGAGTCATTGTTTAAGTACTCGCTCGATAATAATTTATGTTGTTGAATATGTCTAAACCAATTTTGCCCTAAATGAAAGTTACAACACGTAATTTTGCAGTAAGGGAAAATTTGCAATACTGCATTATGCACAGATTTTTCAAAGTTGACATGAAAATAGCTTAAATTTATTATATTACCAGTAATTTGAATACATATATTTTGTAATGTTTTCCACATATTGATGTAAGTATCAGTATGTTTGTTACTTAAAAAACAAAACGCCACAGGAACATAAAAATTGTTTTTAAATACGTGAACAGTATAAAGTTAAACAAAATATTTCGGAGCAAATGAAAATGTCCCATCCCCTAAAACGTGCTCTGCACTTTGTAGCAATTCTAAATTTTGTTTACATGTAAATATAAATATATTTTCATCATCACTAAATAAATAAAATTTATTACCTTTATAAGTAAGATTATGCTGATCATCAACTAATTGTTTTTTAGCATCTTCTAAAGATCTCGGTATGTTTGGAAAGGATTTTTTTCGTTTTTCATACATGGATCTTCGAATTAATTTCATATCGCTATATTGAAGATGTTCGGAGTTATCATTGTTTTTCAATTCCCGGCGTATTAGTTTATTTGGTGTAATATGTAAATCCTCTTCAGCTCTACGTTTCAATTTGCTTCTTACTACTTCTCGATGAATTGTTCGGTCGTCGTACTCGTCATGGGTATGCGTGTTTGTCATTTTTAAAATTTTATATGATTCATTAACTAACCTAACTACAGCACTTACGGAACATTTTTATTTGTACACCTAAAATGTTTATCGCCAAATTTTAAAGTTCGGAATTCTCTAAATTTATAACTTTCTATGATTAACATTTTTTTCCTCGACGCGTTTCAAAAACATCACAAATTTCGATATCCATAGTCAATACAGTTAGTAGTTATAGTACAGCTTTCTGGCAAATGACTGTTTAAAAGTATTACGCTTTCCTAATACACGACGATTATTTTAAATCATTATATATTGATATTGATATGCTGGTAATTTGTGCTGATAATTTGTACCGATAATTCAATTACTTTAGGTAAGTCCAAATTTAAAAATATAAAATACATGTTACTTAGTGATTATGTTGTGCGCAAACGAGTCGTCCGTTTACAGGTAAACGACTGATTTCGTTGCGCGCAAACGAGTTGCACCGTGAAAATGTAGCTCAGGGGAGGCAAAACAAATGTGAATACCTAAATACTAATAGGAAGATTACCTTTACATATTTCATCTACTCATATTTTGTAATACTATCATTAATAATTTTTTTTTTTAAAATCAAAACTCATTTAAGTTTATATAAAATTACACTATTAGTTTTAATATTTATAAGAAAAAATATAATAACCTTTAAACAAAAAACAACTTTATTTGATTGAATGTAATTTATATTTTATTATTTTATTCAAAAAGTAATGACAATCTCCTTTTGTTTGAAGCAAATAAATTAATTGAATCATCAATTTGTTGATTAAAAAATGTTCATCATCATATCTTTGGTGGTGTATATTAATTAATTCCAAGCTACTCAGTCTTTCGTGTCCCATCCCATTTCTAATCCATGTTTTAAACAGCGTAAAGTGCTGAAACGTAATAAAAAAGTTATTGCTAAATACGAATTTATACAATGAATATAATTTGTAAAAATATTGATTTAAAAATAATACCTAAACTATCTTTCAACTGAGCAGGGAGTTACAGGTAAAATAATTGATATTTGTTTAACTTGGCATACTCCTGGGTAATATGTAGCATACTCGAGAATATCAACTGATTTCATGGTGGGTTCGACTACTTTATTTTTCCATATATCATACCATGACAGTTTGTTTGGGCCGAGACGAGGGTTGAAGGACCAGTCACAATGACTAATATAAAAATAAGATTATAATAAAAAACAAAAAAAATCAAAATTATAAATAATAATGTGGCGGGTGCCTATAATAAATCGTATAGGCAATTTTACCTACTCCACGCATATTGCGTGTACTGCCTTTGTAGATAGGCAACTCAGGTACACGATGGACCGATAGCGTTTGGCGGCGACTCGTGGCACGACGGCGGCGCCGGAAAGGAACGGAAACAATTTAATTATTCAAGGGAAAAAAGGAAGTTGAGTTTAGTTATTGGGGGGAGGTCTCTGTGGTTGAATCAGTCTGGTGCAATGACCACAGAGCTCACACACAAATCGGACGAAATACTAAAATTAAACACTCAGGCCACACCTTACAAACTAACTTAAAATTACGTGATGACTAGAAGACGATGGTAACTGTTCAGAAGGTCTAGGCGACCTGGACGGCCTCGCACACACCACGCCGGGTGCTGGCGGTCTTACGCTTTGACGGATTAAATAGACACAATGACGATCACGGATAGACATGCACTCTGACGATGAATGAAACAAATTACATATAACTTCAATAAATTACTAAATACACTTATGGTAACGGAGTCAAGAAAAGGCTGGTGACTTGTGTATTGCGGATGATGGTAAGGTTTTTATTTTTATCAAAACAAAACGTATATATAATAAATAATTATTACCTCAATGGCGAGAAAAATAATAAATAATTGTAAATTGTTCGCTACAGTGGCGAATACAAAAAAAAGAAGTATGCTATACAAAAATAATAATAAGAAAAAACGAAACGAGTAGAGAAGCTTCAATAGCGACCGAACGACGAGTGACAAAAATAATAATAATAAAAGACTGTGGTGCATTAACGCAACCGACGAACGAACAACGACAAAAGTATGTGAAAAACCAAAAAGGGCGTTAGCCACCGTTCATTAATAAATAGGAAAAAAAAAGACAAATAATAATTTTCATGATATAACACACGACAATACGATAATAATAATAAAATAAAAATATAACAGGTAATTAAAATTCACACAGTTGGGGAACCGGAAGGGAAACAGATAAGGAATTGGTCGACAGCCGACGTCGCCGTGCGCTACTTCACGAGTGTAAACTCACATTGCGAGTATGCGCGTTAACAATAGTACTTGTTTTTTAAAATTGTCTAGAAGTGAACCATAAAGTGTACAAATAAATTCAATATTTTCTACAAATTTTTGATCAGTTATTAGCTTCATTTTTTTTTTTTTTTTTTTTTTGGTGTAAGTTGTGTAATGTAAATATTTTTAATTTTTCATCAGAAAATCTATCTTTTAAAGACATTATAACTGATTCCAAGTATGGTATAAATAAAGATTGTCTTAAATATACCTTCACATCATTAGTTGGATAGTTATCACGATGCACTTATTTAATATTACGCCGTGGTAACTTTAACTCCAGATCTATTTTAGAAGCAACTAATTTTATTTCATTAAATATTGTATTGAACGCAATTATTACGGTCTATTTCTAACATTGATAAAAGGTTTTGAATATGTTTTGTAGCTTCTTGCAGGTAAGCATATATCCCTTGAAAAAGTTTTGATACATTTTCAAATTTTGCAGAATATTTTGCCATGATTGATAATATTACAACAAATGGCTTAGTGATTGCAGTAAGCATTTCATAGCAACGCTGTCTAGTTTTGCTGTTAAAATAATTGGATTTTGATATTTCTTCTAAGCCATCAACGATTGTTACATATTGGTCCTTACATTTTCTGATACTTTTATGTTTGTTAACGAATCTTGTTTCGCACGATTTTGTCAAAATACTCCCAACAATATTTCTACGACGTGCATTATCTCTTATAAATGTAATAACTTCTTTTATTATCCCTATAAAATTTCTAGCTTCAGCAAGTAACTCAAATCATTTATTACAAGGTTCAATCGGTGAATAGCGCAATGGAAAAAATTAGCCATGGGATAAACATTATTAATTATTTTTTGCACTCCAGATATATGGCCAGCCATCGTAGCACAACCATCGTACACCTGTCCAACACATTTATTCATGTCAATATTTAGGTTAGTATATGCTTCTAATATTGTTTGAGTAATAAATGAAGCATCAAACTCTTGTAAGGGGAAAAACCAAAAAATTCTTCATGCAAATTTTTATTATGCAGATATCTTACACAAATTGATAACTGCTCAGTACCATTAATGTCAACCGTTTCATCAACAGTGCAAAGCAAAATGATTGCATAGCTTCATTGGTAATCACTAATCTTAAAATTGAAGACATATAACATTCTAATAATTCATTTTGCATACGGTGTGACATGTATAATGCATTTTTATTGGATTTTTTTAAATAAGTTTTTAAAGTCAAATCACTAGCATCAACTCTGAGTTTTAATAATTCATTAATATTATAGTGTTGTCTATATTTCCGGTAAATTATGTATTGCATAAAATAAAAGTGAAGAAATGATTGGTTTTAATTTATCTCTATTTTTTTCAATTTTATTTTTATAACAAAAATCTAATACCTGGTCAATACCATAGTTTGTTTTTTTTCATATTTTTAAAATCTTTGGTTCGTATGAAAGATTCAATATGCCATTTATTTTTCTCATGTTGATTAGGTTTTTCTACAAATTTTTTATGATTTAAAAATGAGCTGGTTATAATAGATCCAAAATATGAACCATGTGTCACATGAGCTCGAAAGAAAATACAAGTAAGGCAAAGAGCTCCTTTCAATAACTTTGAATATACTAAACACGGGTATAGTGAAAACCATTTAAACAAAAATGGACGTTTACTGTCTTCAACATAATTTTTAAAATTGTAATGTTAACTAGGCATCCATGAATTAGTTAAAAGATTAAAATTTTAATCTTCAGAAATGTTTAAATAATTTTCTATAAAATGTCCTAAATCGTTATCGGAAAGCACATTGGTGTGGTCTACAGATATTAATGAAGGAGCAGCTATACATTCTTCTACGAGTACTTTATCCTTGTGATCAATTATAGCAAATGATTTCTATAAAACCATAAAAAATAAATGTAATGCTTATTACAATTAAATTAGTAAAATAAAAATATAATCAAAGAATTTTGAGTTTTATTTTAAATAATTAAAAAGATAACATTGTAATTTATACCAAAATGATTAAGTATTAAAAAGTTATATTCATAAAAAAAATTATTTAAAATACATCTTATTTGTTATTTAAGTAAATAGTAGGTACCTATGCAATTGTATTGTATTATTATATTAATTCATTTTTGATAAAACTTATAGATGATAAAACAATAAATTAAATAAAAGTAATCAAATATAAGAAACTCGATTTGTATTTTACTACACAC